CCCTATTAGTCTTTATACGGCTATCCACATCAGGGTCACGTCAGTCTTCGTAGGGTTTCCACCTCAAGGCCATATCAGTCTTTATAAGGGTATCCACATCAGGTCCATCTCAGTCTTTATATGACTATACACATCAGGGCCACGTCAGTCTTTATAGGGGTATCCACATCAGGGCCATATCAGTCTTTATAAGGGTATCCACATCAGGTCCATCTCAGTCTTTATATGACTACACATCAGGGCCACGTCAGTCTTTATAGGGGTATCCACATCAGGGCCATATCAGTCTTTATAAGGGTATCCACATCAGGTCCATCTCAGTCTTTATATGACTACACATCAGGGCCACGTCAGTCTTTATAGGGGTATCCACATCAGGGCCATATCAGTCTTTATAAGGGTATCCACATCAGGGCCATATCAGTTTTTATAAGGGTATCCACATCAGCGTCATATCAGTCTTTATAAGGGTATCCACATTAAGAACACGTCGGTTTATTAGGGGTATCTTCATCAGGGCGTAAAAGGGCATGCCGTAAAAGGATTCAGATAGGATGTTGCCATTAGAGCCAGATAAGGTGATATAGGCCATAAATTGCATTCTATATCTCAATGTCCACACAGTATTGCATATTTTTGTTTAAAATTCTACGTCCTCCGAATATACGTTACGCCTAATAATGTAAAAACAACTTTTTGTTCCGTTTAACGGAATTTATAATTGGATTTGTTGAGTTAATGCCATGGAACGAGTGTGGGCTTTCCTCTATCTTCAAAACACTAGGTTCGCTTGTGTAAGAACTGCTACTCAAATTAGAAGTATAATGAACTTGACAAAATCAATAAATAATAAACAGACAGCGAAAGAATAATAACATACAACCACGCGTTGTTGAAGCTTCAGAAATGCAAAAAGTCAAAAGAAAGAACGTTCTCATAAATTCAGACATGTCGTTGACCCATCAGTGATTGGCTTATTGTAAACGGCGCCTATGGATATGATTTGTGAAATGTCAATCGATGAATCAGTTATTAGAATATGTTCTCAACCGCTTCTTATTACACCTAAGCGTATTCTATTTTCTTGTTTTTTACTGTATATTACTCACTTGTGATTATGAACAAGTCAGGAATGATTAAGATTCCAAGAAATGTTGTATGCGGTACATAATACAGGGACATCACTTTTCTATAATCAAATTTTTTTAATTCATTACACCTTGTTGCATCATCTAATATTTTTCAAATGTAATGTTTAAATTTTATATCAGAAAGTGGAACAGATATTTTTTACGACAAATTATCACTTACATGAGTTAAAATACAGCAAATACGTACTACGTATATTGTTATTAATAAGCGATAATTGTGTCCATTTACCATTATCCTTAAAAGTAGGTTGCTGTTGTGTCCTTATTTTATATTATTTTATTATTCAATCGGCATATTACTTAAACTGATTGAAACTCTTCAATCAAGCAACTCAGGTTCTGTCAACTCGTTTATTGTCTGTCTTCCCTTAAATTAGNTTCATTACACCTTGTTGCATCATCTAATATTTTTCAAATCTAATGTTTAAATTTTATATCAGAAAGTGGAACAGATATTTTTTACGACAAATTATCACTTACATGAGTTAAAATACAGCAAATACGTACTACGTATATTGTTATTAATAAGCGATAATTGTGTCCATTTACCATTATCCTTAAAAGTAGGTTGCTGTTGTGTCCTTATTTTATATTATTTTATTATTCAATCGGCATATGAATGACCAATGCTTCGATTATTTTCTACCTCACATTATAACTTCGTCCTTGCGAATTCGTCATGTATTTAGGCAAACAGATTTTTAATACGTACCTACTTGAACATATTTTTAAAGCTTTAGGCATTGCGAAGTCTAGCAGTCGTCGCCAGACGAAAATATATTTTCGCAAATAACTTCTCCAGCAAAGGTCAAAAATACATTCGATCTAGATGCCCCCAGCAAACTCAGTTATAATTAACTTCGTCTGAAAGTTTGTTTGGCGTCATTCCAAAACCAAATACTAATTTAAACAGAAACAAGAACTGCATAAGCGTAGCTCAGTTTCCTTATAGTTAATTTTAATTATAGTGCAGTTGTACTCTTTATTAGCTCAGAAACGGTTAATTTTGAATTTGTTGCATAAGGAAAAAATTATGATATGTCTCTCTCAATTGGACTATCTTTCACCAGAGTAATAAGAAGTTGTGAAACATTATGAAACATACTGTAGAATATACCATCATCATCATAAGGTCGTCAGTCCTAAGACTGGTTGGACACGCACTCCACATAACTAGAACAACCCTCATCCTTGACTATTAGCGAACAGTAATCTAATCTAGGTGTTCCTCTACCCCTCCTAACTCCCGTTTCTGCCTCTAATATGTGTCTGACTAGACCTTCATGCCTAAGATAGTATCCTACTAACCTATCTCACCTATTTCATATTGACTTTCGTAGAGTCCTCTGTTTAGAATATATTATAGTAACAGAAAAATACAAGATAATGAACACAAACACAAGATATTGAACACAAACGTGTTATTAATTATTCACAACAATTATTATGATATGTTTAATGTATTCTTTCACCTGAAGAAGTCACAGAGTGGATTATTAACAAAAAGTAATAGACAAACATATGCCGTGTTTTTCTGATTTTATTGGAATTGGAAGACAATTTTCATTTATGCTATGTATTGTTGTTATTTCCTTCTAGTTTTTCAGTAACGTGAATTTAATTTTTGACCAAGAAAGTAACTACGTTCACTTGACTTTTCTCAATTTAAGGTGACATTAAAGGACGAGGTTCATCCTACTTTTGTAATTTGATATGCTGCACTTTCGAGTATATACAAATAGAGGCAATTAGTGTATGAGTTAACCTGGCTGACCCCAAACCCAATTCTAAAATGATCCTTGCGGCGAACTGGGTCTCTTCAGTCCGTTTTATTTATTTAAATAAATTTATACATCACATAGGTCAAAGCTTACCGAATACGTAAATACATGTACCTACATACGTAATGTGTAAGTGCCTAGGGTAATTATTATTAATTAATCAGAGAAATGAGGGCGAGAGCCAATTGTGAATGTCATGATTGGTCGCTTTTTGGAATTGATTTATACTTACTCTCATAAGATAAGAGAAGTTTTTGATTATTATTTGTAAGGACGCATTAAGAAGTATTTTTTATTGGCAAGGCGCTCATAAATGTATAAATAATTAGACCACCGTAGAAGTTTGATAATCATCTCGTATTGTAAATATTTATTGTGAGATTTATAAACAATTAGCAATGGGAACTGACATTAGACTCATTAGAAGTTATAATTCTGAAGACTAGATCTCTTATCTCAGTAGCATATCTTTCATTCGTTTTGAAAATGGCATAATAACCGAAAACTTGTAATTAGAAAGTAATAAATTAATTGGAAAAGAGTTCATACTTTTTATTAATAGTGTTTCACCAGAAAAACATTATTTTATGAATTCAGACGCTTAAAGTTGAAACAGTTTTTCCACAATGATCAAAAGGTACATAAGTGAAATCTTGATGAATTATGGATTGGCAAACCCACTGACATACTTTCTCCAGATAAATAAAATTGGTCTTAATTAGATTTACTTGAGCCAATGACGTCTCCGGTAGTGGGTTTGTAAACAGAAATAATTGCTTTGAATTCGTAACACGATAAAACATAGAAATCTTCATCGGATGGAATGGAAATTGTAACAGTATAAGAACTTGTTGCAGAGAGAAGTTGAACTTGGTAGGTAATTTTTGTGCTGAATGCTTTATAATTGTAAAAGTGTCTTACAGTTAGTACAGAAATTCAACGTCAAGTTGAAGGTTTCTGAAAAATTTTGTCCAGCGAACTTTTTATTACAGTAACTTGATACGTGCTGATTGTCTCAGTTTCCGCAGCGGCTGTGAAATTCAACATTCTTGCATTGTTCTGCTAATAAACTAAACCAGGTGACATGGCACGATTCGTTCCAATAATCTTTCTATTGCATTAAGTTTTTATCGGGCTTGGTTTCCCTTTTTACTCGTTTAAAGGTTGCAAACGTTGCTACCTTTTTCCGTTGGCAAAATCCACAAAAGCCAGGGAGTTTCACTATATCGACGTTTGTTCTTTTAATTCCTAAAAGATTTTGCAAGAAAATGTTATAGTATTTATTGTTGTTAAAAACTTAATAGGATTTAGCCTCGTGATAGTTCTATCGACTGTTTTTCTTTCTGTGTTTATTAAACGTACAGTAAATTATGTATGGTATACTTTGATGAAATTGTGTTGGAATATTTGTCTTTTGAAAATATTCGTAGCAGTGAACATGAAGAATTAAAATATTGTTTCTTCATTGATGTCTAGACATTATGTAGGTATTATTGTCTCTTCTTTTTAGTAAATATTAGGTTTTACTTACAGCTTCTCTTGCGTTGATATGCTAAATATGCATGTCAATGATCATCGACGACCACATAAAACTAATTGTTGTATACCTCGAGGGCAGTATTTCTTTTTTGGATAAAAGGTACCCTATGTCCTTCTCTGAACCCCTGGCTATGTCTGTACAAAATTTTATGATAGGTTTTATCCGCGGCTTCGCTAGCATTGATGCCCTGAGTACGTGTCGAAGATCATTGACGACCACATAAAACTAATTTTTCTATCCCTTGTGAACGATATTTTTTTTCTGGATAAAAGGTACCTTAAGAGCTGTTCTGTACCGCTGGGTGGGTAAGGCGTAAAATGGTATCAAACAAAGGAACTCACTTTCGCAATTATAATATTAGTTAGGATAGGTTTTCTTGATGATGATGATGATGCGGTTAGTAACAATGATACGTAACGCAGTCAGCGTTGGTTTGTTTCAAGTTCATATTTGCCAATTTGCGGTGTGATTACACGCTATACGCCTTCGACGTGGTTTTTAACATATGTTTTATCACTTTTGTTTCAGCCCAGCAATTACATCCCGCGCCAGACTTCACACGACACACAGTCATCAAGCCTCGCATCTACCATGGGAGAGAAAAAAGACAAATTTCGACGACCAAAAGCGAGGACGTAAGTACATAGACAATACGTATTATGTTTCATGTGCATGTAGTATATGTATATTGTGTGAGTTATCAAAAGGATAATGCCTGGTCTAATACATATTACCGAATGCGAGTCTAAAGAAACTCAGAAAATTTGATATACTTAGGACCTATTCAGCTCTAACTACGCCACTGTTGCACGTCTCATAAGTTGCTGTTGAACGTTTGTTTGTAAGTCTTCTTTAGCGTCTTCACGTCGTGACACGTGACACATATTATAAAGGACCATATTAATTTTTTTGTCAGAGAAAAGAAGTTTCATTATACTTACGTTTTCGAAGAACATGCACCGTTGCTTTAATAAAATTTTACTGAAAGAATGCAATTTCTGTTTGCTTCCTACAACACGAAAATATTAACAATTAACAATCTTCTTGAGATGCGGGATGTGGACCAACCGACGACGACCTCAGAACAGAATCAGTTTACCTACTGATCACGAAAGTCTTTACCAATTTCTCCTGAAGACTATTTCTTAATTAATTTTTTGTTAAACCAAAACCGTATTATAAATATGTTTATAACTTTTAAAATTTAAGCCTTTCGGGTTGTGTAATAACAGAACAATTTCATTTTACGATTAGCCACAACAACCTTAAATGTATATTGCAGTAAAGGTCTAGATGATGGCCCCCCACCCCTGAAGGGGAGGTCTCCCCCACCACTGTACCATAAAATGTTCGTGGCGGTCTCACCCCCATAAAAAGTTATAGGGGTTTAAAGTTAATAGATATGCCAATTTTTATACATTTCTAGGCATGTAAATATTTATATACCTAGTCATTCTTAAACAATATTCAAAGGTAAAACTAATGGAGAAATACGTAAAAATATTGAGAAAGTTATATAAAACATTNACAATCATTTATACCAAATAATAGATATGAATATTTAATTTACAGTAATTGTTTCGCTATAATAGCAACTTCATCAGGTAAGTCAAACAATGTCTTATTTAAACTTAAATTCTGTCGTTTTAGTATTAATAGAATTTCAAATAATAATTAGTGTGCCCTTGTAGAAACCTGCTCCATGTAGGTACTGTTGTCGACATTAATTTCTGCAATGTGTAGCACTGTTTTCTAAAGGGCATCGTCCAAATGTTGACTAAATAGAGTTGGCTATGGTCGTTACGCTTGATTATATGCAATTAATGTGCATTGAACTGGTTTAATTAACTTAGACGAATGATTATGCAATTTTGTCTCGAAATTCGGCGGACACATTTACTAATTATATGTTATTAATAAATTTGTAACCTGATTTTAACTTTATTTTAAATTGGGCTAGTTAGGTTGCTAAAGTCTTATTATTTCAAATTTTGGTCAAGATAGAGTTTCAAAACAATTTTCTGATTAATGTCTGAACTATTTAATAAGTACGTAAGCGTTTAGGCGATAAACTATAAGCGACAAGGATGTTTACATATACAGAATTGTTTTTTCTTTTGTCGGTTACTTATGTATAGTATAGTAGTAAACATCTGGTATTGTAAAATGACATTGATATCTCCTGTAGATTTTCCTTTCGAATGAATGTATATTACGTAGGTCACTGGCTTTTTCTTCCAATGTATGATAGAAGTCATGCACAGGGCGTTTGGAAATTGTTTACATCATAAAGGAAACCTTCGTGTAAAATTTCAGTCCAAGGATTTAGACTGGACGAGTCGGTGATGAGTCAAGACTTTTCTTTTTATAATACATACATTTGGATTTTATCCAAAAGTTAGTTGAATTAATTGGAGATATTAAATAAAACACTAAAAACAAAAATTTCATATAAAAATTACAAACTGATAAAGGCTTTCGACATTAGACTTATAACTGTTATTTTTTTTGTATGGTAGAATGATTTAGCGACGTACATAACTGCATGATTTATTGCGGTTTTGTGGCATATTACACACCATTAATTATTGTTGTTATTGTACAGTATTATCGTTTTAAATGATTGCTGCAACGTGAATATTCTGATTTATATTGCGACTTATACCGATTGTAAACAGGTATTAATTCTTTTTCTTTTTTCGTTAGGGATGGGTCAAGCTGTAGATTTTTCAAAATATGTCTCAAAAATTGCATAATTCTACAATTTTCTCATTCAGATTGTTATTAGTCTCGCTACGACAAAGTATTAGTGTCCAGAGATTACGAAAAGAGTAGTTGTATCTCGTGTTCAATGAATAATTTATATTTTAATTTAATTCGGTGATTAATACTTACTTATCCTGTATAATTTTCATGCTAAATATAATATGCATAACTTCTAAAAAGCAATTTATTCTTTTTATGGGCATTAAAAAACATTTTGAGGAAGACTCATTTAGATTTGTTAACATTGTGAATACATAAAACTAGCAACTACAACCAGCAAAACAAATTTTGTAAGCAATCTAAACTCAAGGTGATATGGTAATGTATAGTTTGCGATATTGGATATACTTTGGGCAAATATCGATATAGTTGTTGTTTTTTATGCTTTTTTAGCATGAAATTGAAGCAATCAAAAGTACAAATAGATCATATGTTTATCAGTAGATTATGCAAGTAGTAATAGTGATTAATATTGCCAAACTGTTGCTTTAATATGTTCACATAGTATAATAATCTGTATCCATTATTCTAGTATATAATATACTTAGTCATCTGAAGACTCTTTATATAAACTTGGATCTTGATATTGAACAGCCAGCTTCAAACATCAAAATTGAATTTAGATCAGACCTGATAGATGTTTGAGAAATTATTAGTGCTTAACTATCGTCTACGATTCGTCTCTCAGAGTATACGTAATAAAATAACTGATAAAAGAGAATGTGTAACTTCTTGACAGAAAAGATAATCTTCACATGAGAATAATAGCCATCTTCAGTACCCTGCTGAGTCATCTTACGTAACTGTGCTTGGTACCGTTCTGGGAAACGTAAATACTTAATAACATCGCAACTTTTATTAATGACGTTAACGTTTTACGCCTGTGAAATCGTCTGTATCATGTAGGTATATTAATTTTTTTTTTAAAGGTCATCTCGTGAAGATTGTTGACAAATCGTGGGCGACCTCAAACAAATCTTAAAATCAATGTCAGACAATCGCCGAGAGTTTAAAAAGCATAACTGTTCCTTTGTCGTCAAAAATCATTGTATATCTCCTGTAAAATCATTGGTATATTACTTTTACATCATCGGCATAGCATACGTTATAGCCAGTGGTGGACAAAGTCCATACAAAAAGCTTCAAAACCCAAAGCGCTTACCCTTGATACTCCAATTGGAATTATCAATTACTGTCATTAAATAAGCTCACTTAGATTTAATAGAATCGAAAAAACTAGTGTAGCTTCTCGCATATGTTTTTGATAATAATTATGACAAAGACTAATTATTTGCAAGGCGATGAATTTTACTTTTAACTAGATTAACTAGCGAAAGGTAGAAATTCTTGGTTACATATAATGGATATTTATGATAGTAGACACAATCATTTATACCAAATAATAGATATGAATATTTAATTTACAGTAATTGTTTCGCTATAATAGCAACTCCATCAGGTAAGTCAAACAATGTCTTATTTAAACTTAAATTCTGTCGTTTTAGTATTAATAGAATTTCAAATAATAATTAGTGCGCCCTTGTAGAAACTTGCTCCATGTAGGCACTGTTGTCGATATTAATTTCTGCAATGTGTAATTGGTTTTGTAGCACTGTTTTCTAAAGGGCATCGTCCAAATGTTGACTAAATAGAGTTGGCTATGGTCGTTACGCTTGATTATATGCAATTAATGTGCATTGAACTGGTTTAATTAACTTAGACGAATGATTATGCAATTTTGTCTCGAAATTCGGCGGACACATTTACTAATTATATGTTATTAATAAATTTGTAACCTGATTTTAACTTTATTTTAAATTGGGCTAGTTAGGTTGCTAAAGTCTTATTATTTCAAATTTTGGTCAAGATAGAGTTTCAAAACAATTTTCTGATTAATGTCTGAACTATTTAATAAATTAATTAGGCATGTCAATAGTATTTATGGAGGGAATTTTCTTTTTTACCTTATAAAGAAAATTCACTGGCATATCGGGAGTTGTATCTATCAATGTGTCTTGCCCATATGTGAAGAAAATTTTCCACATGACCTTTTCAATTTTTGTTTGCTACATCTAATTTTTTCTAATATGACACTCGCACTTTTGAAGGTTTTCCTTTTAAAAAAAATTGCTTTCATTTAATTTCTTAGTTGTAATTATAGAGTTCTTGAATATCTTTATAATATTTGTAAAAAATAATATATGGAACGGATATTATTAGACACATACTAAGGCAGTAACACCATAAAATTTTAGTACGTTTGTTTTGATTTTTAGTGCCAAAAAACTCAGCTGTGGCGTCGTAGTAAAGGAAATAGTATCACAGTAAGGTCTACAACCTTTATTTCCTGATCATACTTCCTCCTTCAAATTGCTCTACATTTAGACACCATTTGATAAAAACAACACTCTATACAATAACAAGAATTATTTAATATGTATTTATCTAAATCAAAAGCAAAAGGGCGATATTTTTGCGCAATTGTTTTTTTTTTTTATTTTTGCTGGGTTATTTTTACTTCACACGTAATACTAAAGAAGTGAAATAATTGTGGAACCACAGTATTTATATAATTTTTCATCCCTTCTCTATTAAAATTCATAAACTTGTATATTTAGGAATTTAAATCGTCGTAAGCACATATTTTGAAAATTTTATGTGAATTTATTTAGATGGAAAACAATTTTACGAAAGTATGACCCATTTTCTGGTGTTTCTAAAGTATTTGGCTCAAATATCTTCTTAAACTGGATTTCACTTATTTTATGGGTTGCTGGTGGCTATTCGTATGTAATACAAAAAAAAACTTGGCATTAGCCCAAGTTGCATTGGCATAAATATACTAGGTTTATTGTAAGGTTTTTGCTCATTTCTTCTATTGATCCAACTTGTCCTGCATGGCTGATAGTTTGCCAAGTTTCTGAAAACGCTGAGTATCTTAGAACAGTATATCGACACATTCGGTATATAATTAATAGATATATACATACATATAGGTAGCTAGGCGCCAGGGAAAGACTTAATGTCTTACGGAGAAAAGACAATGACAATAAAAAGTTGTTGTACAAGGCATCTTTCGTTAATAGACAATATCCAATACAAACCACGTATGTCGACGGATCGACAATACATATAGGAGACATTGGCGCGTGCAGATCTTAACAATTTCTTCGAGCTTTACTTTCATTTTATCAGGCTATCTGTACAAATTAATTTTTTGAAGTGATCATGAAAGAACATTGATTGATTAAAAGAATTTGTACATGTTTTATTTTTATGGCTTTCGAGACTTAATTTAATATTTTAAATCTTTCTTCTGTTAGCTACAAACTGGACTATTTTTGAACATACATAGTTAGGTATCCTGAAAATTGCTTCACAGTTCTATTTTCATAAAACTTTTGTTTTTACTGATTTGTGATATTAAAGATTTTTATAGCAGTAGTTATTTCAATTTTATTGTAGGTACTTGACGAAATGTATTTGATCGTGTGACAAAAATGTTGTAGCGTTTTCGTAATATTGCCCCTTTCTCATTTACGACTATTTCTAATTGCCGGCCGTTGTCATACAGATTTCGTAATAAAAGAAACCAAGGCATAAAACGGTATTTCTGTGCAGAACTTAACTATTTACTCAGACAAAGTTAATTGCAATAATAATCACCATGTTACCTTTAAACTAACATTTCAAGGCAATAAAAAAATACAGGCAATTGTTGTTGACAATTATTTATTTAAACGTAGCTGTTTTATATAGTAATTGGGTTTTTTTTTAAGTGTAATAATTTATTGATATTTCATCTAACCTTTGGTCAAAAAGTAATTTACATTCTAAAACAAAATTAACTATCTCTTTTCGTTGAATTTTTATAATAATTATTGTTAGTCTTTGTTTCTTACAATACGTTGTGGAAAATAAAAAGTTGTAAAAAATACATTTTACGCACTAATGAACATAACATGTATATGCAGTTGAAGACGTTTAAAAAATGATTGTAATGTCCGGCTATCTAGTCATTATATAATCTGAACCAAACATAAAATTATATGTCTACCATGGTATGTTTAGTATAGCAAACTTTCTAACTTTCTTCAGTTCCATATGTTTAATTATATTTACTTCAAGATTGTTGAAACTTTTTTAATAAAAGAACTACAGTCACATAAAGTTAAGGAAGACTTTATTTGTTTCAAAACGTTTAGACAATCTTTTCATGAAAAGGATTGTAGAAATGTTTAAAGAAATTGTTATTCTTCAGAATTGCTTTAAATTTCGTAGTTAAAAAAACGCAAAGATCAACCTCTTACGGTTGAAAATGATGAAGAAGAAAAATGACTTATCTACCATGTAGAGCGTAAACAGCTGCATGCTTTCCCTTTAACGGAGTAACGAAGTCATTTTTACTTTTTTCTTTTAATAAATGTTAAGTACCGTTAACAAGTATGAAGTTCACAGAAGGTATTTTCAATGTTATTTAGCTACAGATAGCAAACGTTTCAGAAGAAATAAAAATTGAAAACTTTTTCTCTGACACTATTGAATATTTTATAAATTAAACACGGTTTTTTTGGAAATTGTAAACAAATTTACATCTTAATAAGTTTTTATGGTCAACATGGCAGGAAATGTAATATAACTTTTTACTCGATTGTATAACTTTGGATTTTAATAGTTCATATATTGCATATGTTTGTGTGCTTTGCATTATTATTTTTTTTTGTAGGTATAGCATAACTAATCGGTCGGTTTGTATTGATAGAGAATTTTATACTTAATAAAAGCGTGAAGTTTAACTTTTTTCCTAGCATTTTATTTTAATCGATTTGCAGAAAACGATTTAAACAGCGATAATTATTGAACAGACGCTACGAGTTACGCTAAAAGTGTGACTCATTATGAACGGAGTTGAAGGAAAAAACATTCACATGTTCTGCTTGTACCTAATTACACATTTTTTTAAACGATAAAATAACAATTGCATTTTTTCTTTCAGGGAAATTCTCACATTCACCACTTGACAATTAATTATAATTTAAATGGAAAAGACTGCATTTTAGATCTGAATTTAAATAAGGACCTTATACCTAAGGGTTATTTTCATAAATATCAAAACAATGGATCTGACGTTGTTTATAAACCTAACTCTGAGGTGTGTTGCAATTGAATTTTCAAAAAATATTCCACTTTAGAAGATTATTAAAAAAAAAATCTTTCAGGACATAGAGTTATGCCATTATAATGGAAAAATTAGGGGTATCAAAAATTCGTGGGTAGCACTATCCACATGTCATAAAGGGATAGCAGGGGTTATATATGATGGCGAAGAAATGCATTACATCGAAAAAGGTAAAGACAATCATCGTGGTCATATCAACGGGACCCATTACCTTTATAAACATTCCGATTTGAAGGAAAATAATAAGACTTGTGGATATGGAAACGGAAAACACAATCACAGTCACAAAGAATCAAACGAATTTAATAGAATTTTGAGGGTAAATATCTTTTACAAAAAAAATTACTTATAGTGGAAGCCTTAAATTAAAGTGGTTCAATATTTCAGTACAAAAGGGCATTAGAAGATACAAATATGATAAAAGGTCCTTACAACGCAAACAAACAATCCCGCTATGTAGAATTATTGTTAGTAATTGACAATCGGGAATACAAGGAATTAGGGGAGAACACCAAAAGAATAGATTTGCATTGCAAAGATATTGTAAATATTATAAATTCCGTAAGTAATTTAATTACAGCTGCAATAGAATCGACGAATTGTTTTAATTATGTCCTATTTTACTTTGTAGCTCTATGCTCCCTTGAATATTTTCGTGGCCCTCGTAGGGGTGGAAATATGGTCTGAATATGATCAGATCGATTTAGTACTTAACGGCGACACAACACTTACAAATTTTCTACACTACAGGAAAGAAAAATTAATCAAACAACACCCCAATGATAATGCTCAACTTTTAACGTGAGTCGAAGGTAATGCGTTGTTTTCTATATTTTTTATTTATTGTTGATTGTTTTTAGTAAATTTAATTTTGACAATGGGGTCGTCGGTAAAGCGTTAAAGGGTCCAATTTGTACAATTGAATATTCCGGTGGTGTAAATACAGACCATTCGCCAGTCGTTGGGTTGGTTGCTACCACAGTTGCTCACGAAATGGGACATAATTTTGGTACGAATTTTTTCTAATGCAAATTTTATTTCTGATAACGACATTAGTACCTTTGTCCTTATTAAGGTATGGAGCATGACACTAACGTTTGCTCATGTCCGGACGACCGTTGCATTATGGCGCCGTCCAGCTCGTCGGTGCCGCCGACGCACTGGTCTTCCTGTAGTTTAGAATACTTGGCTTTGGCTTTCGAACACGGCATGGACTACTGCTTAAGGAACAAACCAGTCGCGTTATTCGACAGCCCAGTTTGCGGGAACGGTTTTGTCGAACCGGGAGAACAGTGCGACTGCGGTCTTCCAGAACACTGTGATAACACCTGCTGTAACGCATCCAGCTGCATGTTGTACAGCAACGCCACTTGTGCCACAGGAGAATGCTGTGATTTAAAAGTAAGATTTATTTTTTCTATCAGTCGACTAAACCAAAGGAAGAGGCACCATGTAGTAAATTTATAACGATATTTTCGTTTAAATAAGTTAATTTGTATTAACATGTTCAAGTCTTTAATAGGCTTTGAAAAAGTTGGATATCATGCCCAGATAAGGCTCTAAAGTGGTTAATGATTGTGTTAATTGTCTTAAGTAATTATTTCCAAGTCTGCAGTTTGCCTTTCTTACTAAACGCTTTTGCAGTTTACAGTTAATTATTCGTTTATTTATGCAAATTAAATGTACTGGAATAAGTCTTATAAAAGTTAAAAGTTTTTCCTAACGCTCGGTAATTGAAACGTTAAACTTGAACTTAATCATTTTTTTTTTCAGTTAGACTTTCTAATAAATAATTATAACTATTACAGACGAATAAATTTATTGTTGCATAACGTAAAGTACTTATTAAACTTGATAGGATTTTCTTTTGAAAGACTTGATTTGTTCTTCTATTCTGGCGGTGTTTCCAGACTTGTCGACCAAAAGCTGCAGGAACCCTTTGCAGATCTGCAGATTACGAATGCGATCTACCAGAGTACTGCACTGGCCAGTCCGAATATTGTCCGAAGGATATTTATAAAATTGATACCGAACCATGTGATAATGGAAAGGTAATAAATAATAACATTAATTGAGGTACATAGTTCATAAATTTTGGGTTACTTGCAGGCGTATTGCTATCAAGGATTCTGCAGAACGCGGTCTGATCAATGCAAACTGTTATGGGGTGACACGGGGAAGTCCAGCGACGATCAGTGCTACAAAATGAACACCAAGGGTTCTCGTAACGGAAATTGCGGCTATTATAAGTTAAATCAATCGTACTTCAAGTGTCGTGACGAGTATGTTGTTTTGAAATACTTATTTATTTACAATTATTTAATTACTGAAACACAATTAATTGCAGAGACGTTTTGTGTGGAATGCTTCACTGCAGGCATTTGAACGAACGTTTGGAGTTTGGAATGGAATCTGTGGCCATAATTTCTCATACGTTTATAAACCTGAAAGGTTCGATTATTCCTTGTCGAACAGCTTTAGTGGATTTGGGTATTAACCAAGTGGATCCTGGCTTGGCACCTGACGGTGCGAAATGTGGAGATGGAAAGGTTTGAAAATTGACATATAATATTTTGGTGTACCGTATAACTATTGTTTATTAACACTTTGATTATTTTTAAAGATGTGTGTAAATCAACGGTGCTTATCAGTCGAAAGTCTCAGGAAAGCATCTCCGTCTTGTCCAAACGACTGTAATGGAAACGGGTATTGTAACAGTCTTGGTCACTGCCATTGTAAAGACGGTTTTGCCCCACCTTTCTGTGATTATCCTGGACCAGGAGGGTCCGAAGATAGTGGACCTGCTTCTGATCCAAACGGTAAGAAAACTAAATACTGTCTTCCTATGTCTATCATTAATCATGTTTCTGTTTATAATATGTCTCTAACTGGTCCTTTATGTCTCAGAAAATGACCTACCATACCATCCTATTTCAGCTTTCCCTTATTGACTACTATAGCGCCCTTCGTTCTGCCACTCATTCCAATACCTGCTCATATCTGATCTTTTTTGATAAAAGCAATTCGATACTGGGCTATTCTTTATATTGTCTTTTAGTATTAATGATGTAGTCCTTCATGAGTTAGAAGATAACTTACCATTTCATCCTGTTTCTGCTTTCCCTTATTGACTACTACAGCGCCCTTCGTTCTGCCAATTAATCCAATGCTTCCATACTTCCTCATGTCTGACCTTTTTGATAAAAGCAATTCGACATTGGTCTATTCTTTATATTGTCTTTATCACTTTTGGTATTAATTGTTCAGTATTTTTATGGCATTTTTGTTTCAGCTCAACGAGTTTTCGTGACTGTCATGTTCATAATATTTTTGGGTATAATTCCTGCCTTGGCCATCATCGGTTTCCTAAGCTACTACACCCGACACAATCTGAAGCTCCTTTGGAAGAAGTCAGCAGCAATGTACGTAGTTGATTTGATATGTAACCAATGTCGGCATGTCACGGCTGCATGTAAAGGTGTTGGTCGTACTGTCTCTTGTTCTAAGCCCACAATATCCACAATTTCCCAAAATGTAACGGCAAAAAGTGATTGTTCAGTGCAAAAACACGAAATCGAACCCGCCAAACTAATATCAACTACTAATCCAGCTATTATTGACAAGAGTTCTTCCATTAACAAAATTGTTCCTATTTATGATAACGTGCCTATACCTTCGGGTAGTAGAAACTCCGAACCTCGGGTTATGTTCAAAAAAAGTAGTCCCAAAATTTTAAAGGTTGAGGCCAAGCCCTGGAGAAGTTCCAGTAGTGAGACTGAAGAAATTTATGAGGAAATCGATCTTCCTAATGTCAAAGATATTGCTAAGAAATTCGAAATTAACAGTTAACTGTAGGAGAATGAGTAAAAAAATGAACATTCAAACATTCGGGCTGTTTACTGAGTATGTATAGTAAGAGTTTTGGTATTAAAACAAAAGGTATTCGTTTAGGCTTTAATTTAATTCGATGATTTGGTCCTACAATTAGGAAATTGCAAATGCAAATGAATTTGAATGTTGACGTGTTTGTGTGATAAGATAAAAAGTACCAACAATTGTGATAAAAAAAGATATAGTGAATTTACGATTAAGTAGCAGATACTTTTATAAGCATATTGCTGTTTTTTATTCCCGAAAATGTAAATAGGAAAACATATTTAATTATTTTAATTGATGCTTCTTGTCTATTGATTGTTTTTTTTATGGACTATTTAATATTAATTGTCATTATTATAGTTACGACGCCAAAGACAATAATTGTTTAGTCCTTTTTTAATGNTTCATTTACATTATTGATATTATTCGAGATACTATCCAAAAGTAGACCGACAATGCAATAAACCAAAATTGCGTAGATAGTTTATTCCTTGACCAAGGGTTTAAAAGAACATTATTTTTTTTTTACAGTATTGAAGTTTTTTTTTGTAATTAGTAAGTATCCATTTGTGCAGAAGATGCAGAGTATATCAAAGATGCTACCTGCATATATTTAAATAGTGCCTACCATTTCAATGATAGAATCTCCTTACGTTTCCCTTCTTCGACTTATTAATAATAATTTAATCGTCCCACAATTAATGTATTTTCATTAATTTAATATTAACAATTTTTTGCAAATTATTTATTAATAATAAAATTGAAGCCGAATCAGTGTGTTCTTTTTTGTAATTTAATTAACATACTGTATGTACTAACATGACTAATGGTAGTGGCTTCGCACAATATTAACACTGCTACTAACAACATTTCAATTTAAACACAATTAACTTTAACTGTTCAATAATGAACCAAAAACTTTACGGTATTTGTTTTTAATTCACATTTGCTTCTATTAACGTAGATGATATTATTTAATGTGATTAATTTTGTTGCATGATGGTGGTATTATAATAATCTATAGATACATATACTCCAATAATATCGTAGTTCTTAAGTTTTTTTCCTTTAGAAATTTGTTCAAAATTTGACACACTGAAAAATAAACAAAACGAAGCTGTACACATAGCTTTGCACAGGGTAGCTTATGCTTTTTTGCTCCCTACAGGAAGAAACCTCCACCGAAACCCCGTGGCATGTCACCATTTCAAGCACCTGAAGCTACAAAACAAACGGAAGACAATCATTCTCTACTTCAGAACGAATCGTCGCAATCATTCCAAAGTGAGTTTTTCGGTCATTTCAAAGGCTTTTCTATAGCGCCTGCTAAGAAAGAAGAACCAGAAGTTATCAGGCCAGCACCCCCAGTGCCTCCAGCGATTCCCGTTACACCCAAAGTTGCTTCTATCCAGAAGCCGCCGCCAGCAGTTCCCATTGCTCCAACTGTTACAATAGTTAAAAGTCCTAATTTGGGAAGATCGAAAACGACAGCAGGTACAAAAATCAGCAACACATTAAACAAGCCAATAGTGCGTGCACAGTCGAATGCCAAAGCAAACAACATAGCTACCACCATTTCTACAATTCATAACACATCAGCGGCACCTGCGTTGCCCCCTTTGAACCCCGGAGCACACCCAAGACCCATAATTTCTTCACCAATTTTGGAAAACTCAACTTGTACAGCAAAAGAACTGGTTTCTCCTTTAAAAAATGCTGCAACAAAAGTACCACTTAGACCAGCCCCTACTTCACCCGCATCCAATTCACGTCCACTTTCAAGTCCAGACGCTATGCCCCTGGTAATCGAGGAAGAAAAAAAGACAGCTAATAAAGACAGTGCTCTGAATCGTATCGCTTCGTTTTTGAAATCTGGCGATAAAAGTATACTCCACAGCACAGGAACATTGCCAAGGAAGCAAGCGGTGGAAATGAAACAGAAAAAGACACTGGACAAAAATGTTCTACGTACAATTGAAATATCTCATCCTATTCCCCTAAGTGATATTCCATTGGCAAAAACAGCACTTCCTGTTGAAGGAGACGAAAAAGAACGAAAAGTCGTAGTTATGCGCGCTCAAAGTATGCGGGGGGACGCAGTAACTAAAAGACCAAATATTCCAAATTTCGGATCAATGAGACAAGCTCATGGAGCAAAACGACCGGTCAGTATTCCATCCGGCGTTCGTCCTAAAAGTCCTCCACCCCCAAGACCAAACCCTCATCAGAATCAATCAGAAAAAGAGAAAACGTGTGGAAGTAATAAAAAGTTAGTAACTTCCAACAAAAATGCTTCTCAAAATCAGTACGACGATTGCTTAAATCAGATAACAACATCGAGAAGCGAAGATTCGGTTGGAAATGACAACATATACGCTGTAATCGATGAATCTCCCCCAAAACCGATAGTGCCCCATGAAAATAACAAGAGCAGTTCAGCTTCTAGCGAAAGCGTAGGACTTTTGGGCGAGATCGTTTCCGAAATTCAAAATCGCAATTTAGATTCTATTTATTCAACGTCGACTCTGGCCAGAAAGAAAAAGGAAAAGGAAGAACAGGAAAGAAACGCTTTAGAGGGTCAGGATCAGGTAGTGGACCCTCTTGAAACATATGTGAATACTGCCAGTTTATACAAAGTACCTGACAGTTCTTATAGCAATATGAACAAATCGAGTGCTAGTTCTACTTCAAGCGGTTACATAAACCCATCGTCTGTTAATCCCCCGATTAAGGGTACGGACGACGTAAAAGATCCGAGCAAAACTATAACTAACAATGTAAAAGATGAATTAAAATCTTCGCCGAAAAAACCACCTGTAATTTCGGTGAAACCCAATAGTGTAAGTGACTCAAAAAACACTGTAGGTGCTAACGCGAAACAAACTGGAACTTCGTCCAGCAGTAGTAACAGTAATAATAGTGATAGTAGCGAACAAAAAAGTTATAAACCTTTTTCAACTATATTACAAAGATCTCAAGGTCCCATTGCAGCTTTCTACAAAAGTAATCCGAGCCCATCGTCTCCAAAGAAACTAAATTTTGACAAATCCGAGAGTGCAAACGATAAAAAATCGGCAACAACAAAGCCTCCAGGTCGCCAAACGACTCCTCCTAACTTACGAACGAGAATATCGTCGCCAACAAGGACTGCCCCAGCAACTCCCAAGAATAACACGAAAACTTTAAATAATAATAGTCCTGATCTTGTAACAAGTTGTTCGACCAGCAGCAGAACACCAAGTGGTGGCATTTCGAAATCTCCAGATGTCCTTAATGGAGGGAACTCAACTGCCAGAAAGCCCAACATCCCAAATCCACCCAAGGTTGCTACGAAGATTAACAAGTCGCTGACTGTCAGTGCCAAATTGCCCACTGACAAGAAACCAAAAATTAGTGAAAATAAACCGTCTGTCGCTACTAAAGTGGTGAAACACAATTCTGATGCTGGCATTGGAAATAAGAGTATTTCAGTTGGTGCGAAAACGGTTGCTAAACAGAATTCAACAGTTGCCTCGTTGCAACAGAAATTCGAAAACAAACCTGTCACAATAGCAAAAGTTGCAGCCGCGAAAAGTAAGTGATTTAATTATTTATTAATAGACGTTTATATTTCATTTACATTATTGATATTATTCGAGATACTATCCAAAAGTAGACCGACAATGCAATAAACCAAAATTGCGTAGATAGTTTATTCCTTGACCAGGGTTTAAAAGAACATTATTTTTTTTTTACAGTATTGAAGTTTTTTTTTGTAATTAGTAAGTATCCATTTGTGCCTAACTAAATTTGGTAGCAGATTTTAGCAGCTTGTATAGTAACTTTTTTTTACTACTTAATTACTGTATAATATGTTAGCACATTTAAATTTAAAAAGTAAGTGATTTTCTGTTGGAAAAGTAAAAAATAGATCCTGATAAGGAATTAGATATTAATTTAATTATTATGATTTTTGTGTGTGATAAAAATTATTTTTAGTTAGATTCCCATCGAAGTATCTGAATATAATACTTTAGTGTTTAAGAAAATGAAAAGTCTCGATTTACGAAAGAATGGGATCAAAAAAAGTAATTAATTAGTTTGTTTGTGAATTTTGTGATATTGTTCATCACTATGTTTAGTGCTTCTTTTTTGCAAACATTTCTTTATCAGCAAAGATAAATATGTACTGAGCATTGATTGACTGATTATGATAAATTTGTAGGCACTCGTATAATTTTTAACATTTACTATAAATAATATTATATTGGCATTTAACTAGTCGTTACCAATTATTAATTACACTTTAATTTTTTGTTACTTTGACGACAATCCACTAATAAGGTATAATAAACAAAGTACTAGCTTGAACGATAAGAAGTGTATAT